ATGGAAATCTTGAATTAGTTGTAAGCAAAGTGAATGATAATTAGATTGTGTAAATCCGTAAATAATCGAAAAGCGCACTTGCTCTAAACGCAATTACCTGGCATGATCCCGTTGCTTCACAACTAGATGATCTGAAACCATTAGAGAGTAGTCTATTTATATGCAAGTATGCATTATATGTGAGCGACACATAGAAATGTAGGCCAATGAAAATTGCCGAATATTTCCCATATCATTTCCCATTGATTAAATCTGTGTCATTCGAGTGAGAGTATTTTAGATTTCAGAGAATGAGGAAACATTTTCAACTTATGTTTTAAAAGCTGAGAATTTCAACCATTTTCTGTGGCGAAAGAGATTGAAGTTACGAAGCATACCAGTGACATATCAGAAAATGCTATATTACGGCATTTAGTTCCCTATATATTCTCACTGCAAAATAACTTTACTTTAAGTTGCAACATCCAATGCCAACACCGTTTATACATTACGACATATATTATCCTTTAGAATATGGTTTCGCGTCTTAGAACAATCTCATTATACTCATTATTTATTTGCATTTCCACAAAAGGCACTTTATGAGTCTTAAGTATTGTTTTGATGAGTTGCACGAAAAGACACTATTTTAGGTTTGGTCAGTCAGTTACAAGTGTTACAAACGATTGCAGTAAATTTATTGATCATCCAATTTACATCTAGGGTTAATCCATTTTTAGTCTTCTCCCACAATTTACAACTCTTCTCAACTATAACAACGAGTACCCATATATTTAAATGTATCATTCCTCATCTTCATTCCTTATTTGTAGTATTGCATGTGATAGATGTACTGAGTAATTCACAATAATTTCGGTACAGTTCAAAGTGGTGATTGTTTGCAGAACAGTCTTTTGTAAGATTACCATCATCAGAGAAATATACCCGTAGTTGTCGACGTTGTCTTATCATACTGAAGACATTCAAATGTATGTTGGAATCTGAAAGTGTTATAATTTATATATACAAATAATAATTTCAAACCTCACGATTTTTGTGTTGTTGATAGCTGCGTTTTCGCAACAAGTTTCTTTCAGATATCCGAGTATTTCTTCCGAAGATATAAATCATAACAGTACGGAGTTCAAATTTTCCTCATTCTCATATGACAGTCTTCTGATCCATGGATCACAACCTGCCGATGAATTACTACATGGATGTTTACGAGCCATCATGATATACATCACAATGTATTCATGCAATTGCAGTGTAACAAACAAAGTGACCCACAACTAAGGAACGTGAAGCTGAAATATTACTTTCGCATGAAAATTCTGACGAACTTTTATTGATCTTCATCTCTTGTGTTTTCCATTTTACATTAAATGTGCGTTTAGACATAACAAACATATATTTCCATTGTACATCATGCATACCTTGACTTTCAACGTAAGGATAATACGTAACAGCATATTGCTCACGTTGGTATTCCATCAGTGTATTCCCAAACTCTTCCTAAATGAAAAACCATCTGCTATGCATTATCATCGAAACATAGGTATCGGGTCGACTGATACTCTTCTTGAACCAGAGGTCTCGGAAATGCTACCATGTAAAATGAAATGCATGGAGCTGTATTAACTGAAACGGAAACGAGATTTATTCATTTTCGGAAGGTCGATACAAGCTTCATGCTCACTGACTGATTTTCAGATATTTGTTTAAATGCGAGTTTTAAAGTAAATTATACAGATGGGAAGCCTCTAGTATTGTGCGCAACTAACCCCACTAGCATCCTGATCTTTTCTGAATAGAGTTTTCAATGCAACTATTGTAGCAAACTTTTCCAGGTTGACATGTACTAAATATTATGGAAAGCTGTTTGAACAGTTAAACTGGAGAAAAAGTGATCCATATGGTTGATAACAACTTCAAGGATTTTCTGAAACACGCTGACGACTAGGAAATGTGTATTAAGCAGTAAAAGTGTTTCACAAAGACAGTGAAGACTAGTAGTTATCACGTTCAATTGATATTAACTTCGGAAAGTATCGTCAATAATGTGTTCTAGAATTTCAATCATAACGTTGAATGTTATCGCGAAAATTCGCCTACTATTGAATCTAGATGATATAGTCGAATCACACATTCAAAATAAAACTGTGCTCAGACAACTATCATATGTTGTATGAACTGAAACAAATGCAAATCGTTGTAGATAAACATAAGGGATATTACTAGAGCAAACAACACAATGATTCATGTAAGAAATTTCAATGAAAATGAAATCCAAAGTTGTAATAATGAGTGATGACAATCTAACAATCCTTGTTTTACAATTACGGTCAAGCAGTTATGATAATATAATGAGTTTCTCATCCACTACAAACAACAACAACAACAATTTTTTCATAATTTTCCAGTCTACAATTTCTGTCTGAACACGAGTGTTCTGAGAATTTCAACCAATCAGTGATGCAATGTGAAAAATATCACGATTCCTATTGGTTCATTTTCCTATGTGTTTATCACATGTGAAGCATAGAAAATGAAAATGTATATATGCAAACGATACTTCGGACAAATTATACACTAAAGTCTCTTAATAAGAATAATCATGCCAGGTAAGATTTTTGTTGGATGGCATCATCATCATCATCTATTCGCATTCTCCAGAAATCATTCATCACAGTTGTTATTAATATTTAATTTTTTTCTCTGTTGAATTGAAGGTTGTGGTGGTGGTAGTGGAAACTGTAAATGCTGTTCTGGATGTGCATCGGGCAAAGGATGTGATTGTCCATCTGGTCAATGCCAATGTTCAGGGTGTACGTGTGGATGTTCGTGTCCTTCCAAATGCAAATAAGATGATATTTAGTCATTTCAACCTGTATTCAGATTCGTTAATTATTATTAATTGCACTAAATGTTGATAAATGAAAATAAAATATTAATATGATAACAATGTGCATTTTGAATGGTGATATTCATTTGGGATTTGATGTTGGAATAATGAGATTTCCTTGTGACCAGTGTTGTCAGGCTGTGATGAAATGTGTGCGTTACGTTATGATTAGGTTTCGACATAGTTGAGGGATGATTGCTGAGCTGCATTGATTGAGATTAATTTGTTTTCTTGTTGTTCACAAAATATTTCTCTTGATGTGAAGTCACATTAAAGCTTATTATTTGCCATCATTGCTGAAATGTGAAAGACTTCGAATCATTATTAATTTGTTCGTATAACTAGGGATTTCGCTTTATGTGAATTTCACCATCCACTTACATCGTGATGAGCAAAGATTTAATTGAATATCAGGAACGCAGAGCAATCAGACAATCACTAAATACCTCAGAGAACTGGATAGTTTATGACAGAACGATTCAAAGCAGATAGAATCTAGTTCTTGTAAGAGATGAGAATTTGTATTACTATGTGTGTGTGTGTGTGTAAGATTGATCATCTGAATTAACTGATAATTGATGACAAGACCCGAATTACCGAAACCAAACCTTCAACAAACAGACGTCAAAACGAAACAACTTCATGCAAAATATTTAACTCAAGAAATAATATTCTCAAATAGCACGTAGTATATAAACGACTATCACCTAGGTATTTTGAAAGTCAGTTTACAATTTATTAAATTAAAATCTAACTATCAGTGTAGGGTTGTGGAGATTGGACGAAACGACCGTCCAGTTCTTCCTGGTCTCCAATGGTAGTCTAACAATCGTCCATTCATGTTTTCAATCTAAAATCTAACTATCAACTTTACATATTGCCCACAATGTTACACAGCCATTTGGATTTTAGAATCTATTCAGTTGTTTGACATGGATTTACATCATTTCACTGTTTTACGATTATCACCGTTCAATATTGTGATGTATGTTATTTCGTTTATGTTTAAATTAGAATTGTAATGTTTTACATGAATTGTTCCTGTTATTGTTGTTATTTATGTGACATCTGGCCTTTTTAATTCGTTTCCTTATCAATATTTTCCCATGAGTACAAGTCAGAATAGTTTGAATGTATATTTCAATGAAAGATTTGTTCAGTCAGTTCATTGTACTAAACATGTTTACACCGATATCAACTACAATTTGTGGTTAGATTATTTAATTATAACAGATAAATTGGAAAGCCAATATTGTTAGATTTTAGTAGAAAGAGGCTGTTAACAGAATAGCTTAGATTAATCAGTGTTACGTTACTATTTATTCTAATGACTAATATCATAATTACCTCTGTATACTTAGACAATGTAAAGCAATGAACCTTAGACTTATTTGTGACAAATATTTTATTTTTTATAAGTTATCTATCAGTGAAATCAAGAGCCCGGTGGACAAAGCGCTGACGTTTGAATTTTACCATATGCAACTACACTTAAATACAGGTTCCGTCATATGATGCTTCAAAAATAGAATGAGATTGACGTTATGCGTTCATCCTGCACTCACTAAGCAATATACGTTTCTTAGAATAAGTCTATAATCCTCTTTAGTTCTGTCAAGTTATTAACTACTATCTAGCTCATATACATTCGTGATTAAACTCATATGTGCATAATTTACATGTTCTGTTTATCAACATTTTAAATTAATTCTTGATAAAACCTTCAAACTGGATCATGTATAGTATTCACTTATTTGAATTATTCCAAAGTTTTACAGTCTTAAGTAAGTTTAATCACATTGCCGTTGGAATTCCATTACTTACAAGTGAACTTTTGAGATCAACATGATTGATGTGGGAATTCAGTAAAAATCCTTGTGAAACATTAGAGAAATATACAGTGTACTATAAAAACTTGTGATCATTTTGCCAACATCTTTATGAACACCTAATTATTCAAGAGGGTACTGTGATAGACCATATCTATGGTTCTTCATTAGGTCCTTTTTTATATCTTGCAGAAAATACCTGAACTATAAACATTCATAACAATGAATGTTGACACAATATTTTGTTCATAGTTCACTCAATTTAACATAATTGATGTAATTGAAGTTTACAATCTCTCTTTATGTATTATTACAGGTTTTGTACTCTATCAAAGATGTGAATTAATTATGCATCTATATATTGAATCATTTAGATTCATACTTCCGTATATAAAGTTCATTCATTCACTTTATGTAATCGAAAATAAACTAAATTATAACGCATAAAACTTCAACTACATCATGATAGTCCTATATAATAAAGGTCTACGAAAAAAATTGATTCATTCAATATAAGAATTATTGTACAATTTCGTTAATCCAAAGGTCAAGAAAACCATATACCTAATGATCTATAACTCAAAGTACAATATTTTGAAAGAATAAAAATAAAGAAAGAAAAAGTACCATCTTTTTTTAAAAAAAACATTCAATTTATTATCAGTGTCGAATTGTATCGTTTATTATTACTGAACTTAAAGTATAATTTATTACAATTATTACTCAATTCATTGTATTAAGTGTATTACATATACTTTTCTTGTGATGGTTTATATAGTCCAATTTTTTTCACTGCAGTCTTGTGAACACTACCCAATAAATAAGGATTATAACGATAATTCTAAAAAGATAATAATAAAATACAAAAAAACAATAAATCATGTGAAAGAAACTTTTGATACAAGTTGAAAATGATAACTGAAGTTATAATATCTATCATCTGTACATTACAACTACACAACGAAGAAACCCAATATTAAAATTTATATTCTTTCAAATGATTAAAAACATGTTTTTCATTGAGATCATGAATTGATTGATGTTAGAATACCATCAAAAACTTGGAAGCACTGAACAGTCGTCCAGTTTGATGGATTAGTTGCGGTTAGACATTAAAACCGTTAGATGCTGGCTTAGTGGTCTAGAGGTTATACGTCCTCGTGCAAGACCGAATGTCCTGGATTCGAATCCCGTGAGCGAGATCGTGGATGCGCACTGTTGAGGGGACCCATATTAGAACGAAACTGCAGTCCAGTGCTTCCCAGGTTCTCAAAGGTGGTCTAACATCAATCAATTCATGATTTCAATGAAAAACTGAACAATATTCACAAACCCGTACTGATAAAAACATGTTTCTTGATCACATTTTATACTTTGTGATGTTCTGTAATAATATTCGTGTTAAATCTAGATGAATACAATCCGATCATTTGTAACAAGCTATTCAGTAAGATGTTCGTAAATAATCTAACGACTGAGTAGTAAACTTTAATCATCTTTCTAGATCGTTAACTAGCCCAGTAATATTGTGGTGTGTGCTACTGATGTCGGCAGATATACGTAGTATTTATCATCAGTCGAAAGTGAAATGTCAAGTGGTAGAAAATTAAGATTGAAAAGAAGTGAACAAGAAAAGAGAATGATTGATGTGAAGACGAAGAAGCATTCAAGTTTGAGACAGTTGATTGACATTTTTATAATGAATCATTTTCTGTATGGTTCTCAGATTTTACTAAAAGACTCTGTAAATTTGTATTTAACTACATTTGATTGTACCCACTGATGTTCTCGTTCATTACAATATGAGTTCAATTTTTTGGAGGGAGTATGAAATCACACAAATGTTTAATTGTATTCATTGTCAGGGTATTTTTTCTATTAAAAAAAATTTCCTCATCTAATTATCTGTAAATATTGATGCCCATCTCAGGAAAATCAACCAGATGGTGAATAAATTAATATTTTGCAAAATGTTTTCAATTGTTAGAAAATAACTTAGTTGGTTTATTTATGTTACATTTTGTCAGAGTAATATAAATCGCTCGAACATAAAAAGAAGACACATTTTACAATCCTTCCATGTATTTCAATTTGTGCTAAATACAGAGATATGTGAATTTTGCTTACATTATCTCATATCACAAACTACTTGACTATTTCAGTTTAAACTAAGACATTATGTTAATTAGTAGTATCATTATTTTCGTATGGAGTAAGACAAAATGTTTAATTTGAAAATCTAATTGTTTATTTTATGACTATCTTTTATAACTATCAGATATGCTATGACTGACCATAGAGTTAATAAATATTTCAGTAACATAAATTACACATATTGACAGATATTCTCAAAGTGTACTTCAAGTTACTTAAGATTAAATTATTATATTATATATTGTCAGTACAAACATGATAGTAGTCAGCCATATGAAATGTACAAATCAAATTTCCTTAGGATTATTTAATTTTAGTTTTATTCAGCTCTACATACATTATAAATCATTATAAGAGACAGTCAGTAATACAGGAGCATAAAATAATTTGGCGAACTATAGACTGATCAATATAGCTTATACTGCATAAAGAACACATTTGTAGGGTAGTAAACGGAATAGCCCAGCCTGAAGCGTTAGGGCTTAAATAACCCTTAAAACCCATTGTCTGGTGTCGGGATACTATTACTAGAATAGTATAAGCTATATTCCTATGTAGAGACTGGAGGTTTGCCGTTGATATTGTGGATGGTTCGACATTACTTTGGCAAGTTTTGCTGACTGTCCATGAACAAAACTGGTTTGCTGGTTGACTGATTTCATTCATACTGATAGTTGCTTTCCAGTGTTCTCAAGGGTCATTTTCATTGGGATATTGTAAGGCATGTCGCCATTGCTAACATCAATGAGTTTAACTGTCGTGCAAGCGGAACAGATCACCTTTGGCCTGTTCGTGCTTTGTATAATTGTTTCACGCGAATAACCACACATGTGACGTGAATGTGTATATGAATGGTGCGAATGGTCCACCAGAATGCTTGATACCTGTGTGTTTGCGCCATAGGATTGAGCTTTACTATTCAGATTGTAGTGTTAAAGCCTACATGGTATCTGGTTCTCCTGTGAAGCGGGATTGAGCTGTATTGTTCGGGGTATAGGGTTTAAGCCTGGGCGGTGTCTGGTTCTCCTGAAAACCAATGTAAAATTACCCTGACTCACAAGGGTATATTATATATAACTACAGACTGATCAAAATAACACAAACATACTTTTTCGACAGTCAGTTCTTTGTTTTACTGAGCAAATTAAATAGTCTGATATATATTACATTTTAGTTGAATTTTATTATCAAAAATATTTGTTTGGTTTTTGTACAAATAAAACATGTTTATCACAGTTATGTGACATTATTTAATGAGTTCAATTCTAAGTCACTGACTTAGTGCATGAATGACATATTATGAATTTCTTTCATAAAATTGTATGTCAACTTGACAATAATTTGAGCTAAAGTCTAAATTTGAACAATAAATTATAACATACGTGTGAACGTTTAACTCGTTTTTTAGCTACCAGCCTTTTACGACTTTCTCCTCGTAGATATGGATTTATCAATAAAATCTATAATTTTGCAAAGAAGACATTAGAGTATAAAAATTAAATAGGGTATAATCAATATATGTTAAAATGTTAAGTGGTTGAATGTATTCGACAGAAAGCCCTGGATCTAAGTTTCTTTGTGGTTGCCACTCGTCATTAAAATGTAACTGAAATCTTGCGGGAACTAGCTTGTTTGACATTATGTCACGTAACTTCACAGTCTGCCACTCAACCAACTTGTTATTCGGGCAACTACTGACCTTCAGAAGGACTGAAATATTTACATGTAACTTAGGTCCAGGGTTTCCAGTCGACTACTTCTAACCACCCAACATCTCAGCATAGTACGTGCGGTATCAAGTCACTTTAAGTTAGTGGTCACATCGGAATTTGATGAATGGAAATCTATCAACACTTAAAGGACTAGATAAAAAAGACATAGATCGCTACTCAGTAATCCATTACTAAGAAGCAATGAATATGTGTTTATGAGTTTGAATTCAACCGTAAGTCAGCATATGAGTTGATAACATTTTGATGTTAAAAGTGATTGCGAACTCTAGCTTCTGACTTTAACGGAAGTATCAAGACGATGAAGTACTTTAATTTCATAATCGTAAAATCTATCAGTGTATAAGTGTGGATTTTTTAATGAACAATAATATCTGAATTATACATGACTTACACATAACTTAAATATCAATTCAGTTTTATGTGTAAAAAAACTATGCCAACAAATTAACGTTTTTATCCCTTTAATCTTTGAATTAAACATAACTGAATAGTTTGGATAAAATGATTTTGGTGATTATTTTAGCCGACAAATAGTCTTCGTCATGGTTGAATCTCAGTATAATACCACTGATGACCAGTGAATATCAGGAGAATGATTTACCATAGTATGGGACTCCTGAGCAATAAGAATTCACGATCCTAATAAGAACCAAAATCATTATCAGTAGTTTATATGAGCTAATTCTTCAATGCAATGTTTTAAATAGCTAATATGGTTTTTTGGAATTAAAACATTTGTTTTAAGACAATTTATGAAATCTAACGACTTACTTTTCCATCAGTCTTTTGTCCAGACATAAAATTAGTTTTATGTCCATTTTCATTTGATTCAACTGGACAGTTATCCATATGTTCATTATCACATGAACATTCACCATTTTGCATTTTTCTTATTATCCAATGTCTATTAAATTCAATAGTATCTTCAATATCTTGATCACACGGTGTTGGTAAATCATTTGATTTATAATTTAATGGACATGGATTTGGTGGATCACAATAAGCAGGTAAATTATCAAATTTAGATTCTATATGAGATGATTCCAACTCGCTAGATAGATTTAAATTATTAGCTATTGTATCTTGTGCTTCAGCTCCCAATAAAGCATAATCTATCCACTGACCTGTTTCACTGGAACCTCCAGAAACTTTATGTTCACCCCATAGAGAATTTTGATAAGCAATTTCATTTCGACGTTCTGTTAAACTTGGTTCATTTAAAACTTTATTAATATTATTTCTATTTGAATTTAATTCATAATTATCATTTGATTTTTCATTAAAATTTGAATCAATAAATTTTGGTTTATCAATATCATTTTCTTCTAGTTTGCCTAATTTAGCTTGATTGATTTCGTTTAATAACTCATTCCATTGTTTATCAGTAATTTCATAATTTTCTGGATAATCTTCTTGAAAAATTGGATGTTCCATTGAATATAAACGTTCTAATGTTGATTCTAAACTAGGATTTTGTTTTATATAATCATCATATAATAATTTTCCATCATTTATCAATCTATCTATGTACTGATCATAATTGCTAGCCAGTATTAGACCGCACAAATTCGTTAGAAAATGTAACAAGAAGAATATGATAAGCTATAATTAAAAGAGAAGAAATAATTGAGAATATTAAGTAAAGTATTCTTCTGAAGATGTCATTAGATTTTCAATAGAGTAATCACCACAAACTAATGCCAGAAAAGGAAATAAAAATGAACTGAAACGTTCTAAATTAAGATGAATCAATTGACTAGTTCTCTTTAGTATTCAACGGTTTTGTAGCTGAGATCAGTTAGTGATAAAAATTATATTCAATCTTAGTAATGTAATACTTTGGAAATAAAAAAGGATATAACTTACCTTTTTTAAGTTCATTTGAAAAGGTATTACTACATAACACTACATATTTTCATTATTGTAATGAATTTCAATTAAACTTATTTATAATAATAAGTCAACTTTCTGATTGATTATTTTAACTCATAGATGAAAACGGGTTAGAAAGATAGATTATCTATTTAGTTCACACGTGATATGTTTCAATCTCTTTTATTATATTCTCTTCTTATTCTACTAAGTTTTAATATCAATGAACCAATAGGGAAATATTAAAAAATGGGTTAGTTTATATTTGGTCAAATTGAAAGAGAGTAAATTTCCGTAGGAGGAGAATTAGACGACCTTGAGGAAAATAAAAATGAGGTAGGAAAAAAATTGATAACTCATGAAAAAATTACCATCATTTATGACTTTTTTAAATAGTTATTTAATACATAACTAAACTACTTATTAACATTATTATCACTGGGATTCAGTCATCATAAAGATAATGACCTAGTGATGCTCAGATATAAATACTTACTTACGCCTGTTACTCCTAATGGAGCATAGGCCGCTGATCAGCATTCTCCAATCCACTCTGTCCTGGACCTTCCTTTCAAGTTCCATTCAATTGTTGTTCATTTTTCTCATGTCTGTCTCCATTTCTCGGCGTAGTGTGTTCGTTGATCTTCCTCTCCTTCTTTGGCCTTCAGGATTCCATGTGAGGGTTAGTCTTGTGACGCAGTTGGGTGCTTTCCTCAATGTGTGTCCTATCCACTTCCAGCGCCTCTTGCTGATTTCTTCCTCCGCTGGGATCTGGTTTGTTCTTTCCCACCGTAGGTTGTTGCTAATAATGTCTGGCCAACGGACCTGAAGTATTTTGACAGCTGTTGATAAACACTTGTATCTTCTGGTTGATAGCTTTCGTAGTTCTCTAAGTTACCGCCCCATACAGTAAAACTGTCTTGACATTTGTACTGAAAATTATTGTTGATAAATATACTTACACCACAATAAATTATCTATACGTATATGTTGATATATAAGTAATAAATATTTTATTGAATGTAGTGCATAAATGTTTGGCTGAAAATTAAGAAAATATAAAGACTGAAAAACATATATTTACTATGAGAGAGGATATATTTATTTTTAGAAGATTGAAAAAATGTTCAGCATTAAATGATCTTTAATAGCTGAAGGATAGATAGTTTACTCCATTGCGAATGATTTTCCTGTAGTTACGTATATGTTTTCTTATGTAAGATAAGTAAACAAACATTTTATGATGTATATACACATTCCTGATATTTCGCATAACTAGTTTTTTGTCATAGACGTAATTGGTTAAAAAGGCCACTAACTGAAAAGAAACTGCTGCTCAGCTCTTCTAAATATGATAGTTATGCTTTAGGCTGGTGTTAATTCATCACAAAAGTGATCTTTAAAGCAGTGCAACACTTTCAATAAATACCCCACTAAAGGAAAATATGTCTAAATTGTTATAATGTGTATAAAATGCTACTGAAATTGGAATACATCAATTATATGCTTTGACAAAGTACGTGAACAAGGAACCATTTATTTTATATTTCATTTATTGTATAATCTGTATATTCGAGAATTTCTAGAAAATACCAAATGATTATTGCTAATCAATGTTCCTGACTACCAGATCATATGTACTATTTACAAAACATTATATAATGCCGTTTTAATTCTTCTTGGTTGAAGATCTCTAAAATTCTTTGAAGAATTTAGAAACAATGCCCACTGAACTCAGATCGTTTGAAATATCATTGTATACCAAGAAATATTAAAGAGATATTTACCCTACATTTTGAACTCTTTAAAGATAAATACCGATGACCCTACATGTGATTGAGACAATGCGCTTTGTAATGAGATGAGAACCACCGAATCTTTACCTATTTATTTTCAAATTTTCAGAGATGAGAAAGATGAATATCAACAAATTGGGCAAAATTTGAAGTGAATAAACTTCTCCCTAGATGAAAAACCTTGTTGATAAATTATTCTACATGACAAACTAACTCACCTATAGGTTAAAAATCATTTTATTCATTATATGAATCATGTTCACTTTCTACTAATTTTTACAGGCATTTCCCTCAAATCAAAAAACCTACCAGTCATATTTTTTATGATACTAACCATTTACTTGAAGATTTCGTGTGTTACGCTACAGTGATAAAACTGGTTCCATTGACTAAGCTTTTCGATAAATTCTGTGATAAATTTAAAATATGTCAAATGATTGTTTAAATTAGAGTGATTCTATGCAGCTGGACGTTGAGAAGACGTTTTGGTCCTCGTGTCGCAACTGGGGATGGATTAAGAGGACTAAACTTACGATAACCAACTAACTTTAGGTAGAGATCTGAATAATTCTGATCAAAAGATGCAATAATAAGGTAACAGTATGCTTTGCAATGTTATACTGTTCTGATAAGTGCTGTAAAACATAGATATTTGCATCATCATTTAAGTCGACTATTGAGTGAATGTATTCAAGCTCCGGTAAAAAGATTCTTTTAGTTATAAACGAAAAATCAGACAGTCACAAAATCAAGGAAGTTCATTGAGTTATCTAGCAAAGGTATTTGATAGATATAATAACTGATTACACACACTGTTGGCTATGAGTAAAATAGAGAAATTGTTCATACAAAATTTTAGAGAATAATTCCATTTCATTCTATTAAATAAATCCACGTTCATATACCTCTAGATTAAAATAAGATAATCTTCACTTAACTTGGTAACTAATTTCTATTTTTAATAGTTGAATTCATGAGTTAATCTGAGCTAGACCACCGTTGAAAACCTGGAAGCACTGAACGAACGTTTCGTCCTAATATGAGACACCTCAGCAGTACATATCCACGATCCTGCATACGGCATTAAACAATTAATTCATTTGCGTAAACCTTATTCAATGATTGATAAATGATACAAAATAATCTCAAAAAATGGAATCTTCTATATAAAAAGCACTTTATGGTTATCACATGTTTTTTCTCCTAATTTTAAAATAATTCTTGTACTACTTATAGTAGCTTGAGTAAAAGATTAAACTTTTATAATTGCTTATTATTTATGTATACATAACTTCAATACCAGTGTATTAGTCTATCGGATATCTGGGTTCTATAGAAATTGTAAAATATCCTTAGAAGTTGAACAATAAAGACATTTTAATGAAAATGACTAAACATATTTTAGTTCAAAAAGCTTCCTATGAAAGACTAAAAAATTTTTTTTAATTGTATGAATTGATTTCAGCGGGTACTGAAATTTCCTTGTTTTAATCAACATTCATTAGTTTTAATCAAGTTTGTTTTGCGTTTTTAACAATCGTCATTAAATAGTTATGAATAAATATTGTGAAATTATTGAATAAACTTATGAATGTTGCAAAGAAGTTATACATTGCTTTCATATACTTTTCCGATTAGTATGAAATAAAAAAACAACTAACAAGCATGAACTGTACAGAATAGTTACAATAATAATTATGATGGAAAGTTTCTGAAGCATTTGTAATGACTTTCAAAAGCAAATATCTTTCAAGTCTATCATTAACTTTACTGATAAAATGATATTTAACATCCTCCAAAAAGTATGTTGAAATTTGATATCAATGTTTTGACACTTAACAAATATGTGTATTGCAAGGAGCTAAGTAAATTGTTAAACTGGCAGGTTTACATAAGGGACTAGTTGTATTTAAAAGGCGTGACAAACCAGGATGAACTAGACGGTCATTTCATTCTAGCAGTAGACCACGCCTGTGTTGTACATTCACGACCTTGCCATCGACGTCTAAGCGGGGCCAATTCAAGATAAACAACTGTTCATTGCTTCGTGGTATCTAATGATTTTACAACTGAAATTGGTCGACAATGTAAAACTACAAATATGAAAAAAATATGATGGTGTTGTTCTCGTGACTTACCCTCAAGTAGCTATAATCGTCATGAATTCATCATCCAAACGATATATATATACTTATGCAGTTATTATTCACTATTGTTATTGGTTATAATCTCAATCCCTCCAATTTTTTATTGAAAAATAGATCTTCCACAGATCATTATCGCATATTATTTGTGACATTTACTAAATTTAACTCCAATAATTGACATTTAGTTATTTCTAATCATCACAAGGTATCTTCGTGCTGTAGTACATTTACTTAAATATTTGATAAAAACGCCTTTAAGGTTTTTTATCATTGTCAATAGGTGTATGGAAAGTATCATTTACGATAATAAATTGTTTGTGATGCACATTCGATAGCATGCACATACAAATACAGAATTTGTTTTAACATCACTTTTGCTTAACATTGTATTTGAACGTCATATGATGATAAAACTGGATACATTAATTTGACAGCTTGTTTGTTGTGGAAGACTGATTCGGCGTTTAAAGCTGCTTGCGAATCTTTTCTAACTGTTAAGGATTGTGAAAAGTTTGAAATCATTCTCATTTATCCAACTGAATTATTCAGTAACGTAGCCGTCATATGTCAAGTAACAGTGTGAATTTAATTGGGATAATAGCTATTGTCCAAAAATGAGTAATTTTAGCTGTGCATTTTCGTTAATTAACTATGTCAACTGTTATATCAGACGTTTCAGGTTATAACTGTACACAGGACAGAGATTTCTACGTTACCAGTATAAATTTATTGTAAGCATAAAAACATATGGAACTAAAGCTTGAAATATCTTAAAAATAAGCAACCGTTCTATAACAACGAAAGTAACCCAGCCCTTCATCGATTAATAATAAAAGTAAATAAATAAAAATAAATCATATATGTACAAGGATACAATCCCAGTTAGTTATTGAACAGTCTACCTGTTCTTCTAAAGCAGGTTATTTAGATCTCACAGAACGTGATCTTTCTAGGAATATTCCCCAGCATTACACTGCCACTCAGTGAAAAGAAGGATGCATTTTATTGGACTCCCTTCAATTATGACCATATATCTTCACCGAAATTATCCCCCAAAACTCTATACAAGCCCGAAAGAATAAGCTCTAAAAAAGAAAGTATTAGAATTCAAAACAAGTAGAGGTTCCGGTATTTCATTATTACAAGTATCTATATTCAAAAGCGACATCCTCGTCTATTTATCCTACTGTTGTCCTACCATAAGTGATAATTTATTTCCATCTGACTGTATTTTAATTAACCTCCTTTGTATACCCCAATTAAGTGATTAATTCTAATTCA